GACCATATTCTCCTTAGCCTGTAACTCACAGTCATCCATGAATATAGGACTGGTGCCTTTCATAACAGGCATGGCCTCTCCGGTCAATGAGCTCTGCTCAACTCTCAAAGTTAAGGTTTTCAAAATTGCAATTCTCATGTCAGCCGGCACTTTATCCCCAACCCGCAACTCTACTATATCCCCAGGGACAAGCTCTCTTGCAGGTAAATCTAGCACAAGGTACCCATCCCTCAAAACCTTTCCAGATTCACATTGCATCTCCTTAAGTGCGTCCAGTGCTTTTTCAGCATTATTCTCTTGCCATACCCCAACAACAGCATTAAGGATTAAAATCAAGACAATCACTAACGGCTCCACATAGGCCTCCAATCCAGACTCCCCAGGCTGAATTCCATGCATATAGGCCAAAATAAAGGATATGAAGGCTGCAACCAGAAGAATCTTGACAAGCATATCATCAAATTGTTCCAAGACCAACCGCCACAAGGGCTTTCCCTTTTCTTTGGCGAGCTCGTTCCATCCATACTTCTCACGCCACCTTTCAACCTCATAAGTGTTTAGACCCTTATCAAGTTTCACATTGAACTCTTTCAAGCACTGCTCAACAGACCGTGCCCATGCAGGGAACGGCCTTTCTTCCATTGGAGCTTCTTCAATTTGGAGTCCAATTGCCACTCCAAACAAAGTAATCCAGTCAATGTTTTCCTAATTCATTTTAGAATTCGACCCAAAAAGGAAAAACAGAGTAAGTTTGTTTCAGCAAATCAGTAACAATTAACCAAGAACACTCAAACTACGGAATGGAATTCAAAAGAGAAGAAATATACAGCAAATTTCCTACACCCATAACATCAGAATTAACATAATGAAAGAGGAAGAATCAAGGATATATTTTTAAATAAATAAACAGACCCAAGAGTTTAATCCCCTCGCACTAAAGGGAACAAAACCACCGCTCCTTACACTACTCGAGAAGTAACATTTTAAGCATTCGAACTATAAGATATACTAGCAGTAACAAGGAAAGATACGCTCCGATAATTGTTCATTACTACGAAACGAAACCGCCCACACAAATTAATTGACAAGTAAGTTATAGTGATGTCAGAAGCAAACTGGAAAAAATAGAGACCGAAAAGGATGGTTTAACTTAACCTCAAACCGAAATGACATGACAAGAAAATAAACCAACTATAGTTTGGCAGACAAACCAAACACTAAAGAGACTTTATAGAAGAAAATAACTGTCAGTAAAGACACGAAGTGAAGTGAAGTGAAGTGAAGTTAACAAAATATGCAAACCACCCACTGAAACTACAACGCCAAAGAGCATATTATATTATTTAAAAAAAAAAAAAAATCTCCATGGTAAGCACAAAAATAAAGCACTAGGGAAAAGATATAACCTTTGAAGAAGAAGAAGAAGAACCAAGAGAGATGGCTTGGAAACAAAGCAAAGGTTAGAGAAAATTCTTTGCTGAGAATTCTTCTTCTTCTTCTCCTATACGAAAAATGAAAAGGGAAGATCGAGAATGTAGAGAATATATATTATGGGTTGTGTTGAGTTTGTACTGTCGTCTTTTACCCTTCCACTATTGTGACTCTTGCTTTTTTGGAGCGTTTTCAAGCGCCGATTTG